TGGTGCCCGCCGCCGCCTCTGCCCGCGCCCGCGGTGTCAGCCAGTGACAGGGCCGAGCGCACGCCGTGATTGGACGGTGGCCTCACGTGACGCAGAGCTACGTAAGCGAGGAGTCCAATTCGGGTCCTTCAAGAACCTCGCAGGGGCGGGGCTTGAGGGGGCGGGGCCACCTGGCCCGAGCCCCAGCGGTCCCCTCGGGCGGAGGGCGCCCTCCAGCGGTAGGTTTAGGTTTATCCGAGCGCGTCCGACCGATGTCTGAGGCCGACCCGGTGGCCCTGGGGTGGTAGAATTCGCAGCTAGACCTGCCGCTTGGTGTGTGCGGCATCGGCTTCCCATGGGAATTTATGAAAAATGTCGAATCCCAGGCCTGGCCCCACCCCCACTGAATCAAAATCAGATTCACCAGCACTCACCAAATTGATAAACGCAAAATAGAGAGATGCTTCCGCAGAGGGCGCTAGAGACCTCCAGACTCAGCAAGAAGGCAGCTCAGGTGAGGGTTTGGGGGAAGGCCCGGATGGATATTCACTGCTCAGTGCAGGAAATTTAGAAAAGATGTCATTCACAATCACTCCACTCAGATAATCAGGATTAACATTCCTTCTAATTTCCTGTGCACTGAAAGATATTTAAAACATTTTCGTTTAAGAAATCGTATTTCTTTGAAAATAAAGTGTTGAAATGTATGAAGGACAATCATGTTATAGAGTACCTTTTCTCTATGCATATTTAGTTTTATGTATAGCACATGTTTTAAAAGTTTACATATAAGTATGGGACTTTTAAAAAACATGATTCAGCCCAGCTGGTGTGGCTGTGGTTGAGCGTCGACCAATGTATGAACCAGGAGGTCATGGGTTCGATACCTGGGTTTTGAGCTCAATCTCCAGTAGGGGATGTGCAAGATGCAGTCAATCAATGATGTTTGCCAGGATGACTAGAATCCCAGCACTCGCTGGGTTTTGCAGAAATCTCAGTTCTAACTCCCTGTCCTGAGCTAGCCTAAGACTTTTACCTCTCTCTCCTTGCTATGAGTGATGTTATGGGCTGAATTGTGTTCCCCCAAAAGGTATGTTTAAATCTTGACCCCTTAGCACCTGTGAATGTGACCTTATTTGGAAACTGGTCACTACAGATGTAATCAAAATCAAGATGTGGTCATTAGGGTGGGCCCTAATCTAAATAATGTTCTTGTTAGAAGAACCAGAGACATAGGAGAGAATGCCATGTGACCACGGTGGCTGAGATTGAAGTGATGCAATATACAAGCCAAGAACACCAAGGACTGCTGGCAGCACCACACACTGAGAGGCAGAGAACACACTCCCTGGAGCCCTGAGGCCAGCTTTAGCAACACCTTGACTTTAGGCTTCTAGCCTCCCTAACGGTGGGAGAATAAATTTCTGTTATTTGAAGCCACCCATTTTTTGTGATAATGTGTTGCAGCAGCCTTAGGAAACTCACAGGTGACAAGACCCAATCCTCCTCATTACCAGCTTCAATCCTCCACCTTCTCCCACCCCCCAGGCAGTCACAGGTCTACTTTCCACCTTCCACTGAGCTCCTTTCTTGTCTCTCTCTGGCTCTAAGGATTTACTACTATTCCTTGATAGTTCACTATGAATTAGTTGTTTTTCTTTAGCTATACTGAAGTGTGAATAACAAACCATTAAATTAACTCATTTTGAGCCCTAACTGGTTTGGCTCAGCGGATAGAGCGTCAGCCTGTGGACTCAAGGGTCCCAGGTTCGATTCCGGTCAAGGGCATGTACCTTGGTTGTGGGCACATCCCCAGTGGGAAGTGTGCAGGAGGCAGCTGATCGATGTTTCTCTCTCATCGATGTTTCTAATTCTCTATCCCTCCCCCTTCCTCTCTGTAAAAAATCAATAAAATATATTTTTAAAAAAAACTCATTTTGAATGGAGTTTAATTTTTCGAAGATTTATAAAGTTGTGTAACCATCACCACAGACCGGTTTTAAAGCATTTCCACCACATCAAAAAGTTCCCTTGTGCCCATTCAGTCATTTCCACCCCCAGGCAACTAATCATTTGCTTTCTACCACTAAAATGTTGCCTTTTCTGGATATTTCACTTATATGAAATCATACAGACTGTGGTCTTTTAAGTCTGGCTTTTCACTTAGCATTTTTTTAAGGTTTATCCATGTATCTCTTTTTTATTGCCGAGTCATATTTCCATAATATGTAAAGTGTTCAATATCATTAGTCATTAGGAAACTGGAAGTGTATACCAGTACACGCCCATCAGGATGGTTATAGTGTAAACCCTGAATGACAATGTTGGTGTAGATGTGGAGAAACTGGAGCACACTGCTGGTGGGAACAGAAAATGGGGCAGCCAAACAGTGCATTTGGGAAGCAGGCAATGTCTTACCAAGTTAAACACACGCTTACCACGTGACCTAGCAATCCTACTCCTAGGTTTCTACTCAAGAGGTAAGAAACGTAGGTCCACACCAAGACGTGTACTTGGATTTATAGCAGCATTATGCATGACAGTCCCAAACTGCAAACAGTTCAGATGTCCATCAAATGGTGAATGAATAAAGTGTGGCACGTCCACACAGTGGAATATTATTTGCTATCAAAAGGCACGAAGTGCTGATACACAGAAGTCCCGAGAAGGCAGGAGGTTTTGTTTGCCTTGTTCACAAGTGACCAGTGCCTGGCATATAGTAGGTGCTCATTAGGTATATGTTGCAGGACCAAGAGAATGAACCACATGAGCTTCTTTATTGGACTGTTTATTTGAAAAAGATTTATTACATTTTGAAAAATGGCCATGTTTGCAGTCATAAAAATGTGCATGAGAATTCAAGTAAGAATATAAAAATAATCTATATTAACAAGTTTGCTTTGTACACACGCTGCACCATCAGCCATGACCCCCACTGCAAGTTTTGGGGGCACTGACTATTGTGGGAGCTTCTGACGCAAGACTCAGGGAGATCAGGTTAGTAGCTCAGGGACACGTAGCCTGACCAGTGTCCACTGTAAACATCAGTGATAGACTTTTATTTTAAGAGGCAAAGGGTTTCCCTGGAGTTCACAGTTGGTTTGAGCCCTGCAGTGGTGCTGCCCTCCACACAGCAGGTGGCTGAGTGCCACCGGACGTGTACGGGTGCAGAAGTTCATCAGAAACTCTTTTTCATTTCTTTTAAAAATACATTTTCAGCACGCAACTTTTCTGTCTCCTGGAAAGCAATTTTTTTAAAAAAGGAAAAGAAAAAAATTAAGGCTCTAATTCTTACAAGAAGAATTATTCTTGGCATTCATTAAATTTATATTTCAAATTAAAACTACAATTTTTAAATTTGTAAACTTCTCAACATTAAACAGAAATGTGATGTGTATGAAAACTGACTGAATTATTCTTAGAATAGCAGACTGAATTGTTTTGAACTCAGGAAGTTCCCTAAAGAAGGCAGATAAGCGATTTGATCATTAAATTCAATTTTAATTAAGCAACCATTTAAACAGCAGTTACCTCAGCGAGCCGGACGTTCTCCCTCTTCAGCCGCACCACGTAGTGGATCTTCTGGTTTGGGTTCTGGTGTCCTAGCAACTTGCCATTTTCCTCAGCGAGACACTCCACCTGCTTCCTTAACATTTCCATCTCCTGCAGGTAGTCAACCCAGGGAGGAGACAATGAGCTGCTGTTCATTTCTTAAAAAGTAACATTACTCCATGCCTCTGGGAGCGCAGGGAGACAGACACACAGGCAGCTGCGTGTGCTACAGCAGGTCTGACCCACAGGACACCCTGTCAGACAAGAGTCTTACTCTGGTTGGTCCTAGTGATTCACGCGGCCCAAGCACAGGAAAACACACACACACACACACACACACACACACACGCACCTGGAGTGTTCTCTCCCTTTCTTCATAGAATTCTTCCAGCTTTGACCTCAGTTGTTCCTTTTCTTGGAACGCTTTAGACTCCAACGTTCTGGTTCGTTCCACTTCCTCGGTCATTCTGAGGTAGTCTGTCTCTTTGCTCTGCAGGGCGCTCTGGACTTCTTCTAGACTGTAACAATAAATAGCCCTTTTTGATATTCCAAAGAAACATAATTACAACAGTACTGGAAGGGATGTGGAGATGTGCCCCCACGCCCCACCCCCCCCAGCCCGGGGTGCTGATTTGAAAGTAATGCTAATCGCTGCCCGCCTCTCCCCCGAGAGCACAGGAAGATCTGCAGGTACGTTTTTGTTGTTGTTTTAACCATGACTTTAATTTTGGAAAAATCCTCAAACCATTTTTTAAATAATGAAAATTTAGAATGGAAACTCTCAGATTCAGCCCACGTGGAGCAAACATAACTGAGGTATTACTACAGCAGCAGGGTTTACTCAGTGCCCCACCCTTAAGTGTAATAGTTTCTGGTTTCAAACACTGGTTTTCAGACAGAGGGACACAATTATTTCTTTAAGGATGTGCTATTTAGAATTTACATACTTTATATAACTACCAATTGAAAAGAAATATAAGGGAAAAGGCTACTGTAGAATTACATAGAACTTCACCAATTTTATAAAATCGTCTGAATCCTATCAGCTTCCCCAAAGAAATAAATGCTTTTTATCTCACAATGCATATGGAACAGAATTCTGGTTAAGTAAATGATGTAATACAGGGCATTGAATATATCACTTACAGGCAACTGATTTCTAGGGCAGCCTTTCCAGACCACAGTCCATGCGCTCAGAAGGACCGTGTGGGGAGGAGGCACGGTGTCCTCAGCTCCCCTGGGGCTGTGCTACATTTATCTGGTGTGTTTTGCTTTAGTTTGATGAAGAGGCTCTGAGGCATGGCAGACACTGCAGTTGCCTAGCCAACAGCCAATCCCCTGCTCTGTCTCGCTGTAGACACTCATTTTATCTGGGGGAAAGGAAGAGGGAGAGCTTGCCGTTTCTAAGGTTACCAGGTAAGATCTGGGCTGAGCTGAGCATGGCTCTACCTACCTCGCGGCCAGAAGTGCTACACCTGGCCCAGGAGACGCACACTGACCCTTGGGGCTCACGTACACCCATGGATGACACAGTGTGTAAAATCGCTGCAGGAGGCTGGGGCTGATCTGTGGAGTGTGCTTTGCTTGCCCACAATGTGGGCTCCTGTACGACCCAGGGACAACGTATCTCTAAGACTCTTGGTTACTAAATTATGAAACAGATTACAGGCATACTTAGCTTGTATTAATATTTATTTATTTATTTTATTTATTTATTTATTTATTTGCTAGAAGGTCTCAAATGGACATTCCTAAAATAGCTGCAAATTTACAGCCATACAGCTGGATTCTCATAGATTCTGCACGGGAAGCAGACTCCTGTCCTGGCCCTACAGCTACCTGGCTGGAAGCAGTCCCTGGACGGCTCCCGTGTGAGGAGACTGTTGAACAAGCTTCTCTACATCCGTCCTCTTTGATTCTATGAAGCAAACGACTCCATGACCGGGTAACAAATCGTTCACGGGTGGTTGGTCTTTGTCATCCGATCATTGAAAAGAATTTTTGGCATATTAACTTGGATGGAGCTCAAATGACTGAATGCGAGTACTCGAACAAAACTTCCATTGCCATTACTTACTATGTGATTAAGATTCCTCAGCATTTATAGCAATAAAAACAGAAAATGGAATAGAATTGATACTAAATATTGTCTCATTCCAGAATTAAAAAACAGAATGAGCTAATCAAAGAAAAAGCATTAAGATAAAGTGCATTAAGAGATGCATTTCCACTAACATTTTACTAGGTATAGTGATTATTTATAAAATCTTACAATAAATTTAGGATACTGTGTTAATAGTAATTGTAATGAAAATTCAACCCAGAAGAAATATAACTCTTAGAGACATAAGAATATAAGAAACTTCTACACATTATTTTCAATTTGCATACGTTTTCATTGCTAACTGAAATGATAGAGTAATCAGCAAAACAATTTTCAAACAATATATTAAATCAGCATGGGTATAGAAGAGAACAGCGGTTCTCAACCTGTGGGTCGCGACCCCTTTGGGGGTCGAACGACCCTTTCACAGGGGTCGCCTAAGACCATCGGAAAACACATATAATTACATATTGTTTTTGTGATTAATCACTATGCTTTAATTATGTTCAATTTGTAACAATGAAAATACATCCTGCATATCAGATATTTACATTATGATTCATAACAGTAGCAAAATTACAGTTATGAAGTAGCAACGAAAATAATTTTATGGTTAGGGGTCACCACCACATGAGGACCTGTATTAAAGGGTCGCGGCATTAGGAAGGTTGAGAACCACTGGAATAGAAACTAAAATCAAAAAAGGAACAAGGTAAAATTTTAGATTTAGAAATTTGTTTATATATTTTTAAATGATGGAAAGTAGCAAATAAGTTGAATACTGTTAGAAGAACACCACAACAGTTTTATTTCTAAAGGTCACTATTTTTAGTACAGGGATATCTCTGCTTTACTGCACTTCACAGATGCTGCGACTTTTACAAATTGAAGGCAAGACTCTCCACCAGCAAAAAGACTATAACTCACTTTATTACAATTTTCTGGAACCAACCTGCAATATTCCTGAGGTATGCCTGTATGTTGGAACCTCTATTTTTTGCAACAATTTAAACTTACAATTTTAACATTAAGTCAACTCCAAAAATGAGCAAGAGGGTACATAGTATTTCAGATTCTTTTTCGAGGTAGAACAAGTGAAATGCTTGAGGGCCTCAGTTTCTGATGACGAGGCTCTATTCAGAGAATACAGTATCTTTCTAATGTTTTATTATTTGTTAATACCACCCAGCTTACTTATTTTGAACGTGATAATACAGTATATCTTGTTCACCAAAGAATAAGTTAATATTAAAAGTATATGAAGAAAATTTTTTAATTTTTATTTTTAGAGAGAGGGGGAAGGGAGGAGGGAGGGAAACATCGATGTGAGAGCAAAATATTGATTGGCTGCCTCCTGCACGCTCCCTACGTGGGGATCGAGCCTGCAACCCAGGCATGTGCCCTGACTGGGAATCAAACCAGCAACCTTTCGGTGCATGGGACAATGCCCAACCAACTGAGCCACACTGACCAGGGCAATAAATTATTTTTTCACTTCATTTCATTTTACTTATGAATAAATAAGCCTAGATCAGAAGAAATCAGAGAATTGATCTAGGGGTCTCAAAGGGCCTTGAGGTTTTAAATCAGAGGAAACCAGAAGTGAAAAGGGAAACGTGATTGTTTATGAAGAGAAAACCAATCAATTAATTCCTTCAGGAAAGCTAGGCTTTTCCTGGCACTTATTCTTTCAAGGTAATTTTTGGAATGGCTTCCTGTGAAAAACTCTTTAGCAAGAGGTATTTAGGAAAACAGTTTTGTAAACAACTCTTATGTTCACTTCAGAAGGAAAGAAGCTACTTACCTTGTAGAATGAGTGTTTCTTCCCTTAGAGAAGAGTAAAGAAAAGGCTAACAAGAACTTGAATTACAAAACAGTGCACTTACTCTGCTTTCATTCTCAGCATTTCTTCAACTAATTTATTCTATAGGATTAAAAAAAGAAAGAAAAAGATGCTTAAGTTCTTAACATTGCTAAAAAAGATAAATTGAAAGTAACCAACCCACTCTCTCACTCATGGTAACAAAATCAATTAAACCAACATTCTTTTCTATAATCCAAGCTACACACACATAAAGGGGGCATCTATTTTTAAGACTTCATGCACTGTGCCCTGTAAGGCCTCAAACAGGCACTCAATCCTTGCTTCCAAATGGTTAACTGTATGGATATGCTGAGCAGTAGACTTACTACCATCTAGACACAAAAACAAAATATTTCTTAATTCTTAGTTATGTCTAAATACTGATGGTGAATATCAAACTTAACAGTGGGAATACGGAAAAGACAGAAATTTCAATAGTAAATGGCATCTACAATATATAACCATAAATACTAACTATAAAAGCACCTCTCAGACAATAACATCTATTACGTAAAAAAAAAACCCACCAAAAAACACTGAATAGACCATCCAACTTCAGAGAGAAGTTAGGGCGGCGGAGGGGGGGGGGGGGGGCGG